TCTGCCCTTCAAGCTCTGGAGGGCAATGAACGCTGCAGAACTGACATAGCCAAGATAATCCTGGATGCCGATCAGCTTATTACCTCATACAACATCAGAATAGTGATGCAGTGGATTCCAGGTCACTCCGGCACACCAGGTAATGACAGAGCTGACAGATTGGCAAAGAAAGGAGCAACACAAGAACAACCACCTACAGCGACAACCCTCCAGACAGCAAAAACACTGATAAGAGCTATAAACAAAGAGACTTGGTTGAACAGATGGGCCATGGGAGACACTGGAAGAGAGGTTTATAGACATATGTCTGGCCCTGATCCTAATGACAGCATTAACCATCTAACAAGAAGGGACCAGGCCACCATCTTCAGACTTAGAACGCAACATACTCCACTCAATGGACACCTAAACAGAATACAGCCACAACACTCCCCAGAGTGCCAGCTATGTAACTACCCCTACGAAACTGTTGAACACCATCTCTTTGAGTGCCCAAAACTCAGTGAGACAAGAAGAACGCTACTCCCTCCGAGACCAGACAAGTGGAACACCTTGTACGGAGGAAAAGAACAGCTTGTGAAAACATGCAAATTCCACTACATGGCATTGGGCCAAAGGGCGAAAGCTCATGCGCCGCTGGATCGATAACAACAACAACAACAACTTGGACTTGGACTTGGACTTGGACTTGGACATGGACTTGGACTTGGACTTGGACTCGGACTCGGACTTGGACTTGGACTTGGACATGGACATGGACATGGACTTGGACTTGGACTTGGACATGGACATGGACATGGACATGAACTTGGACTTGGACATCTCATACAAAGCATATTTATTCACTCCCTATGCTACCAGTGCCAGACGTGGTCACTGGCAACAAAACAAAATAAAATTAGTAACCATGGAAACGAGGTGTCTGAGAAAGACTGTAGGAGTGACCAGAAGAGATAACATCAGGTCTGAGGTCATACGAGATAAAGTCGGCACAGAACCAATCCTAGATTATATACGAAGACAGCAAATCAAACGGTTTGCCCACTTGGAGAGAATGCCTTCTGATGCTATACCATGCAAGGCATATACCAAAAGAGAAGACGGACTTAGAGCAAGAGGTAGACCAAGAACATCATGGAAAGATAACATCACAGAAACAAAGACACCACGATGCGTCTATAGTCGAAGCAGCCAGAAGGGCTCGAAGCAGCACCTTATACCTGCTTCGACTCCCGAAGCGGTAAGAGAGGACGAAAAGAGGGAGGATTCCTTTTGTCGACTCCTAAAATCCACCTCGACACAGTTAGTTAGTGAAATTAGGTCTCCCGATGTCATTACTAAATTAACAGATCTTTGTTGCAAAATTTTTATTATCACTATCACGTATCTTGCCGACTGAGATGATGGAGTCATTTTGTGACCTTTAACATTGTGTATCAGTCCATGTGTTTGTACCGTTCTCTTTCATGTTATCTCGCTCTGTCTTTTCCACCACAAATTAGTCTAATTTTCACAGGCTCCATTTTCTCTATTTTCAAAAAGTTAGGAGAGGGAGGGGGCGGGAATAGGCGTGTCTTTGTCAGATATTTAAAATAATGTTAAGTGCTTTTCATTAATTATGTGTTGTCTTAACAGTAGAGGCTGGTGTTAGGGCTGTCCTTGGTATTATTACGTTCTGAGGGCCCCATATCTTGCACGGTGTGACTCCCATACTGATGTCCAAACAAAACTAACCACAAGTTTTTTTGGTTATTTTTTTTTTTGGGGGGGGGGGGGGGGGGGGTTGGGGGGGGGGGGGGGGGGGGGGGGGGGGGGGGGGGGGGGGGGGTTGGTGTTCAGTGAATTGCTGGAATCCTGGTACGCTAGGCTCGTGAAACCATGGTTACTCGTGAGGGTTCCGTGGCCCATGGAGGGGGAAAACAAGAACAGACCCACTTTTGGGGAAAACAAGAACAGGCCCACTGTGGGGGAAAACAAGAACATATTCACTATGGGGGGGGGGGGCAATAACAGACCCACTGGGGGGGGGGGGGGGGAGGGGACAAGAACAGATCCACTGTGGGGGGAAACAAAAACAGACCCACTGTGGGGAAAAACAACAGACCCACTGCTTCCAGTAACATGCATGTCGTAAGAGTCGATTACTTTTGGTTTTTTTCTCTTCTACGTCCAAGTGCATCTGCCTGAGCTGCAAGGAACCAACAGTGCATATAAATAAGCCAGATCTGTAAAACGGATCTGTAACACTCATTCTGCAATAAAACTGAAGTCGATAAGTGGACGAACAGTCAGAACTTTCAACCGGAGTTTACAGCCGGTAAACACAAAGAAGAAGAAGAAACTCTGTGTGATTTAGGCTTATCCAAAACATCTAGATATCCCCAGTGTTCTGTCCAGGAAAGTTGAGACACACTTCCCTGGAGCCACAGTTTAGGAAAACGGATTAACTAATTGGGTTTGTGCTCACAAGCCATTGAGCAGGCTCCACATCAGGTCTGTGCTCACAAGCCATAGATAGAGCAGGCTCCACATTGGGTTTGTGCTCACAAGCCATTGAGCAGGCTCCACATTGGGTTTGTGCTCACAAGCCATAGATAGAGCAGGCTCCACATTGGGTTTGTGCTCACAAGCCATTGAGCAGGCTCCACATTGGGTTTGTGCTCACAAGCCATTGAGCAGGCTCCACATTGGGTCTGTACACACAAGCCATTGAGCAGGCTCCACATCAGGTCTGTACTCACAAGCCATAGATAGAGCAGGCTCCACAGCCTTCGATGTGAAGTGGCTCGATTTCCGCGACCGGCGATTTGAAAATAAAATCGTTCTCATGGCTTAATGACAACAGTAGGAGAGTGTCACCGTGGAAGAGATTAGAGCCTGACTACGTAAAAGTCTCAAAAACTGCTTGGATGTACATATACACTTGTAGCCAACCTTTATTGTGGAGACGGTACTTGATTAAAATACAAGTATCCCTAAATCTTAGATAGTTCAACCTACCAGAACCTAATCTACAGTCTGTGCAAACTTATTTCTAAGTCACATTGCATTTATCTGAAATCAGACATCATCATACAGAAGATGAGACATGGGAATTTAGTCCCAAACATCATACAGAAGATGAGACATGGGAGTTTAGTCCTAAACCCCTTACTGGTTCTTCAATAAGTAATGGTTGAGCCAGGTAAGTACGACAGTTCGACTGGGTTATTTTCCATAAATGTCAATTTCTGTCATCATACTCTGAGAGATGTTATCAATCTTATTATCAATTATCAACCAGATTTTAACTTCCTAAAATAAATCGAAAAGATTGTTCTACAGTCACTATGTAATAGCTCTATCATCTCTCATACAAACACTACGCTGTAGAAATTATACTTGAATGTTTACACACGGACCTCAGAAAACACCTCTCTGTAGTTTTTTTTTAACCACTGCGTGTTTGGCAAATTTAATTACCGTAAATTCGCGATATTTATAAAGAATCAAATAATTCTGGAAGGACTGTTTGTGTAGCGGTTGGGGACAATTATTGTACCATGAAATCTCTCACAGTTCCGTGGTCTTACCACTTGGGCGGCGCCGTGACTCGGTCGATTCTTTCACTGAAATACTTTACAGTTTTATACTTACTTCCAGACTGGAGAACAGGGAGAGGAAAGACGGTCTGTTGTGTGTGTGTGTGCTATAACGAATGCACGGGCGTCACTTTAATCACTGATTAGGAGAAAGACGAGGAGGTTGAGGAGGAGAAGGAGAAGAATAAGAAGAAGAAGAAGAAGAAGAAGAAGAAGAAGAAGAAGAAGAAGAAGAAGAAGAAGAAGAAGAAGGAGAAGAAGAAGGAGGAGAAGAAGAAGAAGAAGAAGAAGAAGAAGAAGAAGAAGAAGAAGAACAAGAAGAACAAGAACAAGAACAAGAACAAGAAAAAGAAGAGGAAGAAAAAAGAGATACATGCATACATACATGTATACATACATAATACATACATGCAAATATACCTACGTACGTACGCACTTACATATTTTCACACATGCGTACTTACACCCACTCTCATACATTATATATATATTATATATATATGCTCCCATACATGTATATATACATATACCTCCACATGCACATACATATACAAACACAATCCCCCACTCAATCATACACACAACCATATACAATCAAATATACACACACGTACACATACACAGGCTCATGATACACATACATACACAGCCACGCACTTAAACATACACATACACGCTCTCGCAATCATACACACACGCATGGACAAATACCTAAATGCACCGGTCATGACAACGGGAAATTAGAGAGATAAAAATACAGAAGGAGAGAAGACGATGCTCAGTCTGGCATCATAGAGTGGTGGCGTCTCTGTTGAAAGGTAAAAATACAGAAAGAGAGAAGACGATGAACAATCTGGCATCATGGAGTGGTGGCGCTCTGTGTGTCAGAAATGAATGAAAAATTCAGAAGACGACTGGAAAGATCACTGGTAGGAGAGGTAGAGGCAGACCAAGAAAAATGATGTTGGATAGCTTAAGACAGTGGCATGGAGGAACATCATCAGTGGAATTGATCCTTCACACCAAAGACCGAGATCTGTAGAGATTCATGAACGCCTACGTCTGCTGGCAAGACACTTGATCATAATGATGGCATTAAAGAGATTCTTCATCGGCACAGTGTGACAATAGGCACTGATGCTCATGAAGTAATTGATCGCAAGCTGTTTCTCCCCACGGAACTCGACCGCAGAAATAAAAATAGATGATGATGATGATGAATAGTTATAAACATGTTGTTGATTGGGCAGATTGAGGGTCCTGACGTCACGGCGTCGCCATGAATATCTCCCGACATTTTGTTAACGCAAATGTTGAACGGGAACGCTGGTTCCATTCTCAGACAAAATCAGACTGCCCACAAATCCACATTTGAAAACTTACTACTGTGTTGAACCAGCCAACAGCTCAGCCTAAGATATGGACCTGGAGACAGAGGCAAACAATCTGTTCAGGAAGCTCCGGGAGGCCACAGATTCCAAGTCTTTACTGCGAGCACATCTGACCTGCAACATCCTGGCTCGACTGAAATGTTTGAAGACAAAATTCGGTGGGACTTTGGTTGACTGCATTCGCTCAGGTGATTTTGTTGTTTCGTTTATCTGGTCCTACTCTTCTTCTTTTGCTCCAGTTACTTCATCGAGAAGTTGGGGGAGGGGGAACGGGGTACGCATCTTCTGTGTAGTCTTTCTGAAGTTTTGTATAAGTTTATCATCGTTTCTTTCAGGCCTCTATTGAAACCGTCATTGCACAGTTGTCAATAGTCTTTCACTGCTCTGTATTTATCTCTGTCCTTTTCCAGCGTGGCTGTCTGTCGCAGTTGGCGCCAGGGCATTCTCCTCGGATGAGAAGACCATATCTTAAATAAACTACTTTCATATCTAGTCTTCATCTAACTTCTCCATTTAAAACATCATATCATCTTGTTACTTCTGTAGCTCTTCTCAGAACCCCATGTGTGATGTTATTATTATGTACACTCTAGATGTAGCAAGGTCCATGTTTGTCATTTGTAGTATACAGTTGGCCAAACAAATGTGAGGGGGAGGGAAGAGGCTGCCATTGAAGATGGTGACGCAGAGTGTGGAGCACTAGCCCTGACGTACTTCTGACACAGCGTTTAGAGGTGGTCTCTCTACTGCCTTTCCTTCTCAGACAAGTTGAGGGGGTTGGAGACGGTCATGGGTGATGCATCTGTGATCTGTTGTTTTGCACCAGGATACGAGCTAAGACCTGTAGTGACCTATCCACCCCTACCGGTTATCATCCTAGAAACAGATTACCTACCCGGGGCCTGGCTAACACCGTTAGGATCCATCTTTCCATGTGATGCGAGTCACTAGCAGTCTGCATACAATAAACCAGATCTGTAAAACGGATGTGGATGGTTATGCAAGGTTGGATTAAGCTCACTTCTGCGTTTTTATTCGGGGAACTGTGTTCATAGGCAAGTGGACGACTGCATGTGTTGTATGGGAGTCGAGACAGAGACAGTCACTGCTGCCCTCCAGTTGTTACCTGACACTTCATACGGGGGGAAGAAGATAGATCCTTTTATCTGTCTGCCACTGTATGTTTTAGAAGGTCCTCTCGGATGATTTGTGCAGAAAAGGTTGAAACATTTGATCCCCAGAGACAGATATTCGTAAAGGCAATCAGCCATAACCTTCTACTTTTTGTCGAGGTTGTATATAACATTATATTCCCTAAGAATGTATTTTTGTGTGTGGTGTATTTAACATCCCTGCCCCTTTCAAAGCTATGGTAAGGATAGAGCTAATTCAGATGTGTACTTTAGTAAATGTATATACATTTGATGTAATGCACCCGAAAAGATACAGCCAAATATGGCAGGCAATCAAATACGCAATGTACTGTTTGTATTCGCATAATTTCAGTTCAGTTCTCTGTCAAGAAGTTGTTCTCTATCAACAATATGTCTGTCAACAATATGTCTGTCAACAATATGTCTGTCAACAATATGTCTGTTAACAATATGTCTGTCAACAATATGTATGTCAACAATATATCTGTCAACAATATCTCTGTCCGCATAATCTCTGTCAACAATATCTCTGTCAACAATATCTGTGTCAACAATATCTCTGTCATCAATATCTCTATGTCATCAATATCTCTATCAACAATATCTCTGTCAACAATATCTCTGTCAACAATATCACTGTCAACAATATCACTGTCAACAATATCTATGTCAACATATCTCTGTCAACAATATATCTGTCAACAATATCTATGTCAACAATATCTCTGTCAACATTATCTCTGTCAACAATATCTCTGTCAACATTATCTCTGTCAACAATATCTCTATCAACAATATCTCTGTCAGCAATATCTCTGTCAACAATATCTCTATCAACAATATCTCTGTCAACAATATCTCTGTCAACAATATCTCTGTCAACAATATTTCTGACAACAATATCTCTGTCAACATTATCTCTGTCAACAATATCTCTATCAACAATATCTCTGTCAGCAATATCTCTGTCAACAATATCTCTGTCAACAATATCTCTGTCAACAATATCTCTGTCAACAATATCTCTGTCAACAATATTTCTGACAACAATATCTCTGTCAACAATATCTCTGTCAGCTATATCTCCGTCAACAATATCTCTGTCAACTATATCTCTGTCAACAATATCTCTTTCAACAATATCTATGTCAACAATATCTATGTCAACAATATCTCTGTCAACAATGTCTCTGTCAAACATGTCTCTGCCAACACTATCTCTGCCAACAATATCTCTGTCAACAATATCTTTGTCAACAATATCCCTGTCAACAATATCTATGTCAACAATATCTTTGATAACAATATCTCTGTCAACAGTATCTCTGTCAACAATATCTCTGTCAACAATATCTCTGTCAACAATATCTCTGTCAACAATATCTCTGCCAACAATATCTCTGTCAACAATATCTTTGATAACAATATCTCTGTCAATAATACCTCTGTCAACAATATCTCTGTCAACAATATCTCTGTCAACAATATCTCTGTCAACAATATCTCTGTCAACAATATCTCTGTCAACAATATCTTTGTCAACAATATCTCTGTCAACAGTATCTCTGTCAACAATATCTCTGTCAACAATATCTCTGTCAACAATATCTCTGTCAACAATATCTCTGCCAACAATATCTCTGTCAACAATATCTTTGTCAACAGTATCTCTGTCAACAATATCTCTGTCAACAATATCTCTACGGCATTATGAACATGTCAACGATGTATCGATATAATTTAGGTCTCTGCTGACCGTTTATCTATAACAATATGTTTTCTGTCAAGAATTTGTCTATAGCATTATGCATCAGGTCAGCCATGTATCCATAACCTAGGGTTGTCTGTCAACCATATATTTACAACATTGTGTTCTCTTAATAACATTTAATTCCCTGTATCTTTGTATTTATAACATTATGCTCTCTGTCAAACATGCGTTTATAACATTATGTTTTCTGTCAACCATGTACCTATAACAGGTTCACTGTCGGCCATGTATCTATAACATGTTCACTGTCGGTCATGTATCTATAACATGTTCACTGTCAACCATGTATCTATAACATGTTCACTGTCGCCCATGTATCTATAATATGTTCACTGCCAACCATGTATCTATAACATGTTTACTGTCAGTCGTGTATCTATAACATGTTCACTGTCAACCATGCATCTATAACAGGTTCACTGTCGGCCATGTATCTATAACATGTTCACTGTCAAAAAAGTATCTATAACATGTTCACTGTCAGTCACATATCTAAAACATGTTCACTGTCAACCATGTATAACAGGTTCACTGTCGGCCATGTATCTATAACATGTTCACTGTCATCCATGTATAACATGTTCACTGTCGGCCATGTATCTATAACATGTTCGCTGTCAACTATGTATCTATAACATGTTCACTGTCAACTATGTATCTATAACATGTTCACTGTCAACCATGCATCTATAACATGTTCACTGTCAACCATGCATCTATAACCTGTTCACTGTCAACCATGTATCTATAACATGTTCATTGTCAACCATGTATCTATAACATGTTCACTGTCGGCCATGTATGTATAACATGTTCACTGTCAACTATGTATCTATAACATGTTCACTGTCAACCATGTATCTATAACATGTTCACTGTCAACCATGTATAACATGTTCACTGTCAACCATGTATGTATGTCTATAATAACATGTTCACTGTTTAAATATGTATCTATAACAGGTTCTGTCAGTCATACCATGTTCACTGTCAACCATGTATAACATGTTTCACTGTATAACAGGTTCACTGTCAACCATGTATCTTCACTAACATGTATAACAGGGGCACTGTCAACCATCAGTTCAATGTCAACCATGTATAACAGGTTCACTGTCAACCATGTATAACAGGTTCACTGTCAACCATGTATAACAGGTTCACTGTCGGCCATGTATCTATAACATGTTCGCTGTCCACTATGTATAAAATATTCACTGTCGGCCATGTATCCATAACATGTTCACTGTCAACCATGTATCTATAACATGTTCACTGTCAACCATGTATATATAATATGTTCACTTGTATCACTGTCACTACCATGTATCTATACATGTTCACTGTCAACTATGTATAACATGTTCACTGTCAACAATCATGTATCTATAACATGTTCAAACTGTATCTATAAAACATGTTCACTGTCACCTATAACATGTTCACATGTCGTGTCACTGTCAACCATGTTCATCCAATAACATGTTCACTGTCAACCATGTATCTATAACAGGTTCACTGTCGGCCATGTATCTATAACATGTTCACTGTCCTAACATGTTCACTATAACATGTTCACTGGCTATGTATCTATAAACATGTTCACTGTCGGCCATGTATCTATAACATGTTCACTGTCAACCATGTATCTATAACATGTTCTATAACATGTTCACCATGTATCTATAACATGTTTACTGTCAACCATGTATTGTTCATGTCTATCTATAACATGTTCACTGTCGGCCATGTATCTATAACATGTTCACTATCGGCCATGTATCTATAACATGTTCACTGTCAGCCATGTATCTATAACATGTTCACTGTCAACCATGTATCTATAACATGTTCACTGTCAACCATGTATCTATAACATGTTCACTGTCAATGTATATAACAAAAAAAACTGTCACTAGCCATGTATCTATAACATGTTCACTGTCAACCATGTATCTATAACATGTTCACTGTCAACCATGTATCTATAACATGTTCACTGTCAACTATGTATCTATAACATGTTCACTGTCAACCATGTATCTATAACATGTTCACTGTCAACCATGTATAACATGTTCACTGTCAACCATGTATCTATAACATGTTCACTGTCGGCCATGTATCTATAACATGTTCACTGTCGGCCATGTATCTATAACATGTTCACTGTCGGCCATGTATCTATAACATGTTCACTGTCAACTATGTATCTATAAATGTCACTGTCAAACCATGTATCACATGTTCACTGTCGGCCATGTATCTATAACATGTTCACTGTCAACCATGTATCTATAACATGTTCACTGTCAGGCCATGTATCTATGTCATCTAATCTAAACATGTTCACTGTCAACCATGTATCTATATAACATGTTCACTGTCGTCAACCATGTTCATGTCAACCATGTATAACATGTTCACTGTCGGCCATGTATCTATAACATGTTCACTGTCGGCCATGTATCTATAACATGTTCACTGTCGGCCATGTATCTATAACATGTTCACTGTCAACTATGTATCTATAACATGTTCACTGTCAACCATGTATCTATAACATGTTCACTGTCAACCATGTATAACATGTTCACTGTCGGCCATGTATCTATAACATGTTCACTGTCGGCCATGTATCTATAACATGTTCACTGTCGGCCATGTATCTATAACATGTTCACTGTCAGCCATGTATCTATAACATGTTCACTGTCGGCCATGTATCTATAACATGTTCGCTGTCAACCATGTATAACATGTTCACTGTCGGCCATGTATCTATAACATGTTCGTTGTCAACTATGTATCTATAAAATGTTCACTGTGAACTATGTATCTATAACATGTTCACTGTCAACCATGTATCTATAACATGTTTACTGTCAACCATGTATAACATGTTCACTGTCAAACATGTATCTATAACATGTTCACTGTCGGCCATGTATCTATAACATGTTCACTGTCGGCCATGTATCTATAACATTTTCGCAGTCAACCACGTATCTATAACATGTTCTCTTTCAACCATGCAACTTTAACATGTTCACTGTCAACCATGTATCTATAACATGTTCACTGTCAACCATGCATCTATAACATGCTCACTGTCGGCAATGTATCTATAACATGTTCGCTGTCAACCACGTATCTATAACATATTCACTGTCAACCATGTATATATATCATGTTCACTGTCAACCATGTAACTATAACATGTTCACTGTTAACCATGTATCTATAACACTATGTTGTATGTCAAAACTGTTACGGCTATACCTTTAACACCTTTAATTTTAAAAATAACCTCCCGTATTCTGCTCACTCTCAAATGTTACCTTCCACACTCTTATAACTCTTAAATGTTACCTCCAACACTCTTATAACTCTCAAATGTTACCTTCCACACTCTTATAACTCTCGAATGTTACCTTCCACACTCTTATAACTCTCAAATGTTACCTTCCACACTCTTATAACTCTTAAATGTTACCTCCAACACTCTTATAACTCTCAAATGTTACCTTCCACACTCTTATAACTCTCGAATGTTACCTTCCACACTCTTATAACTCTCAAATGTTACCTTCCACACTCTTATAACTCCTAAATGTTACCTTACACACTCTTATAACTCTCAAATGTTAACTTCCACACTCTTATAACTCTCAGATGTTTCCTTCAACACTCTTATAACTCTCAAATGTTACCTTCAACACTCTTATAACTCTCGAATGTTACCTTCCACACTCTGCTCACTCTCAAATCTTACCTTCCAGATTATTCTCACTGCCAAATGTTACCTTCGAGATTCTTCTCACTCTCAAATGTTACCTCCAACACTCTTATAACTCTCAAATTTTACCTTGCACACTCTTCTCACCCTCAAATTTTACCTTGCACACTCTGTTCACTCTCAAATGTTACCTTGCACACTCTTATAACTCTTAAATTTTACTTTGCACGTTCTTCTCACTATCAAATGTTTCCTTCAAATCTCTTATAACTCTCAAATGTTACCTTGCAGACTCTTATAACTCTCTAATGTTACCTTCCACACTCTTACAACTCTTAAATGTTACCTTCCACACTATGCTCACTCTAAAATGTTACCTTCCAGATTCTTCTCAATCTCAAATGTTACCTTCCACACTCTTATAACTCTAAAATTTTACCTTACACACTCTTCTCATACTTAAATGTTACCTTCCAGATTCTTCTCACTCTCAAATGTTACCTTTAACACTTTTATAACTCTCAAATGTTACCTCCAACACTCTTATAACTCTCAAATGTTACCTCCCACACTCTTCTCACTCTCAAATTTTACCTTGCAGATTCTTTTTACTCTCAAATGTTACCTTCCCGATTCTTCTCACTCTCAAATGTTACCTTCCAGATTTTTCTCACTCTCAAATGTTACCTTCCAGATTCTTCTCACTCTCAAATGTTACCTTCCACACTCTTCTCACTCTCAAATGTTACCTTGCAGATTCTTCTCACTCTCAAATGTTACCTTCCAGATTCTTCTCACTCTCAAATGTCTCAAGATTTACTCGCTCTCAAATGTTACCTTGCAGATTCTTCTCACTCTCAAATGTTACCTTCCACACTCTTCTCACTCTCAAATGTTACCTTACAGATTCTTCTCACTCTCAAATGTTACCTTCCACACTCTTCTCACTCTCAAATGTTACCTTCAACTCTTCTCACTCTCAAATGTTATTCTTCTTGAATGTACACTCTCAAATGTTACCTTCCAGATTCTTCTCACTCTCAAATGTTACCTTCCACACTCTTCTCACTCTCAAATGTTACCTTCCAGATTCTTCTCACTCTCAAATGTTACCTTCCAGATTCTTCTCACTCTCAAATGTTACCTTCCAGATTCTTCTCACTCTCAAATGTTACCTTCCACACTCTTATAACTCTCAAATGTTACCTTCCACACTCTTATAACTCTCAAATGTTATTGTCTTATAACTCTCAAATCACCTCTCCAGACTCTTAACTCTCAAATGTTACCTTCCACTCTTGTTACCTCCAATAACTCTCAAATGTTACCTTCCACACTCTTCTCAGTCTCAAATGTTACCTTCCACACTCTTATAACTCTCAAATGTTACATTCCACACTATTATAACTCTCAAATGTTACCTTCCATACTTTTATAACTCTAAAATGTTACCTTCCGCACTCTTCTCAGTCTCAAATGTTACCTTCCACACTCTTCTCAGTCTCAAATGTTACCTTCCACACTCTGCTCACTCTCAAATGTTACCTTCCACACTCTGCTTACTCTCAAATGTTACCTTTCATACTCTGCTCACTCTCAAATGTTACCTTCCACACTCTGCTCACTCTCAAATGTTACCTTCCACACTCTGCTCACTCTCAAATGTTACCTTCCACACTCTGCTCACTCTCAAATGTTACCTTCCACACTCTGCTCACTCTCAAATGTTACCTTCCACACTCTGCTCACTCTCAAATGTTACCTTCCACACTCTGCTCACTCTCAAATGTTACCTTTCACACTCTGCTCACTCTCAAATGTTATCTTTTACACTCTGCTCACTCTCAAATGTTACCTTCCACACTCTGCTCACTCTCAAATGTTACCTTTTACACTCTGCTCACTCTCAAATGTTACCTTTCACACTCTGCTCACTCTCAAATGTTACCTTTCACACTCTGCTCACTCTCAAATGTTACCTTCAACACTCTGCTCACTCTCAAATGTTAATTTTAACACTCTGCTCACTCTCAAATGTTACCTTCCACACTCTGCTCACTCTCAAATGTTACCTTCAACACTCTGCTCACTCTCAAATGTTACCTTCCACACTCTGCTCACTCTCAAATGTTACCTTCCACACTCTGCTCACTCTAAAATGTTACCTTTCACACTCTGCTCACTCTCAAATGTTACCTTTCACACTCTGCTCACTCTCAAATGTTACCTTTCACACTCTGCTCACTCTTAAATGTTACCTTTCACACTCTGCTCACTCTCAAATGTTACCTTCAACACTCTGCTCACTCTCAAATGTTACCTTCAACACTCTGCTCACTCTCAAATGTTACCTTCCACACTCTGCTCACTCTCAAATGTTACCTTCAACACTCTGCTCACTCTCAAATGTTACCTTCCACACTCTGCTCACTCTCAAATGTTACCTTTCACACTCTGCTCACTCTCAAATGTTACCTTTCACACTCTGCTCACTCTCAAATGTTACCTTTCACACTCTGCTCACTCTCAAATGTTACCTTCCACACTCTGCTCACTCTCAAATGTTACCTTTCACACTCTGCTCACTCTCAAATGTTACCTTTCACACTCTGCTCACTCTCAAATGTTACCTTTCACACTCTGCTCACTCTCAAATGTTACCTTTCACACTCTGCTCACTCTCAAATGTTACCTTTCACACTCTGCTCACTCTCAAATGTTACCTTTCACACTCTGCTCACTCTCAAATGTTACCTTTCACACTCTGCTCAATCTCAAATGTTACCTTTCACACTCTGCTCACTCTCAAATGTTACCTTTCACACTCTGCTCACTCTCAAATGTTACCTTTCACACTCTGCTCACTCTCAAATGTTACCTTTCACACTCTGCTCACTCTCAAATGTTACCTTTCACACTCTTCTCACTCGCAAATGTTACCTTTCACACTCTGCTCACTCTCAAATGTTACCTTTCACACTCTGCTCACTCTCAAATGTTACCTTTCACACTCTGCTCAATCTCAAATGTTACCTTCCACACTCTGCTCACTCTCAAATGTTACCTTTCACACTCTGCTCACTCTCAAATGTTACCTTCCACACTCTGCTCACTCTCAAATGTTACCTTTCACACTCTGCTCCCTGTCCAGGGGTAGAAAACCCAGAAAGCGGGGTTGGCCTCTATGCGTGTGACCCCGACGCCTACACGACCTTCGCCCCTCTGTTTGACGCAGTCATCAAAGACTACCACAAGGTCAAGAAACTGGACCACCCTAAATCTGACTTCGGAGACCCAGAAAAACTGGACTTTGAAGATCTCGACCCATCTGGAAAGATGATCGTGTCCACCAGAGTTCGAGTGGGACGTAGCCATGACAAATTTGGGTTCCCTCCGGTCCTGACAAAAGAGGTCAGTCACGCGAGTATTGTGAGTGGCTCAGTCCATAAGTACATGTTTGCTACTGCTGTGAGTGTTCAGTTTTTGTGAGCCAGACAACTCTATCTAATTTTTGTTTAACTTATTGTCATTCTTCTTCTCAACGTTCTCCCTTCTTCCCTTTCTTACAATTCTTTAGTAGTTTTACTGAAGCAGAAGTTTGTGATCATGAATCGCGCGCTATCTGTGACTTCCAATTATTGCGATTAATTGTCTGTTGCTCGCGTCATTATTTTTCGGGCTGTTAAAGCTTTAAGCTTCCCACAGATATTATATCTACCCCCCTCTCTCTCTCTCTCTCTCTCTCTCTCTCTCTCTCTCTCTCTCTCTCTCTCTCTCTCTCTCTCTCTCTCTCCTCTGACACAAAGACCACCCAGGATGTCCAACAGACTAGTGTCTGCCCATAAAGTCCAACAGACTAATGACTGCCCAGGAGTTCCCACAGACTAATGTCTACCCATGAAGTCCAACAGACTATTGTCTACCCAGGATGTCCCACAGACTAGTATCTACCCAGGATGTCCAACAGACTATTGTCTACCCAGGAAGTCCAACAGACTATTGTCTACCCAGGAAGTCCAACAGACTATTGTCTACCCAGGAAGTCCAACAGACTATTGTCTGCCCAGGATGTCCCATGCTGAGGTAAAAAGAAATGTAGATTGTGTCTTTCTAGAATGTCCCAAATAGTTAAAGCGAAAACATACTCTGCCCAGAATGCCCCTATGTGATGTGAACAGAGTTCTCTATCAGTAAAAGCCGCCACCTTCTGACACCCCCCCCCCCACCACCTTTCTTCCCCCCTCTCCTTACACAGATTCTGTTGTTTAAAGATATGTTGCTTTTCGCTGTCATCCCAGGACCGTATTGAGATGGAGAAGAAAAGTGTGGAAGCCTTGCAGAAACTGGAGGGAGAGCTGAAGGGCACCTACTATCCACTGACAGGGATGAGCAAGGAAACACAGAAGCAGCTGATGGACGAGCACTTTCTCTTCAACGACAGCGACAGGTTTTTTGAGCCAGCTTGTGTCCAACCACACACCTCATTAAATCCCTGTCTACCTTTATTGACCAGCTTGTGTCCAACCACTCGCCTCATTAAATCCCTGTCTACCTTTATTGACCAGCTTGTGTCCAATCACTCGCCTCATTTAATCCCAGTCTACCTTTATTGACCAGCTTGTGTCCAACCACTTGCTTCATTAAATCCCAGTCTACCTTTATTGACCACCTTGTGTCCATCTACTCGCCTCATTAAATCCCAGTCTACCTTTATTGACCAGCTTGTGTCCAATCACTCGCCTCATTTAATCCCAGTCTACCTTTATTGACCAGCTTGTGTCCAACCACTTGCTTCATTAAATCCCAGTCTACCTTTATTGACCACCTTGTCTCCATCTACTCGCCTCATTAAATCCCTGTCTACCTTTATTGACCAGCTTGTGTCCATCTACTCGCCTCATTAAATCCCTGTCTACCTTTATTGACCAGCTTGTGTCCATCTACTCGCCTCATTAAATCCCAGTCTACCTTTATTGACCAGCTTGTGTCCATCTACTCGCCTCATTAAATCCCTGTCTACCTTTATTGACCAGCTTGTGTCCATCTACTCGCCTCATTAAATCCCAGTCTACCTTTATTGACCAGCTTGTGTCCATCTACTCGCCTCATTAAATCCCAGTCTACCTTCATTGACCAGCTTGTGTCCATCTACTCGCCTCATTAAATCCCAGTCTACCTTCATTGACCAGCTTGTGTCCAACCACTTGCCTCATTAAATCCCTGTCTACCTTTATTGACCAGCTTGTGTCCAATCACTTCCTTCATTAAATCCCAGTCTACCTTCATTGACCAGCATGTGTCCAACCACTTGCCTCATTAAATCCCAGTCTATGCTTCACCATTACACGGAGCTCTCCCCATGTCCACCCCATCTTTCGAACTTCATTCTCCTGCTCTCTTCTCCATGCCTTTTTTGGCCTTCTTTATTCCTATGACCCTGTAAGTTCCAATGCAAAGACATTCTAGTTATGCTGTTCTCCTGTTTTCTCAGTGTGCGTCTTATCCAACGCCAGCGTCTTTTCCTCACCTCTTGGTCCACTAGAGCCTGTTTAGTTCTCTCCCTAAGCTCTAAATTAGTTATTCTATCATACCATTTAATGTCATCTATTCTGCGCAGGCACCAGTTAATGAATGTTTGTTAATTTATTAGTAATTGCCTTAGTTGTTCTCCATGTTTCCGCCCCATACACAAGTACTGATTTGATATCATAATTAAAAATTGTTTGTTTAGTATTTCTTTTTATTTCTTTTGACCTCCACAAATTCCCTAGCTTTTCTTGCCTTTTGTATTCTTATTTTAATATTTCTATCAGTTCCTCCATCTTTATCTACATTACTGCCAAAATAGGTGTACGACTTCACGTCTTAGAGTTGTGTGCCATTATAAGAAACCACATTACTATTTGCCTGATTTATTCTCATTATCTTTGTCTTTTGTTTATGGATTTTCAGACCAAGCTGCTGTGATCTCGCATCAAGTATATTTAATTTATCTTGCATCTGATTCCGTGAATGGGACAAAAGAGAAATATCATCAGCAAAGTCCAGATAATCAAGCTGTTTTGTAGGGGGTCCACTGAATTTTTTAATCTTTCTAAAATAATTTTACTTAATATTTTTCCAGGAACTGACAGCAACATAATTTCTCTATAGTTTTCACACTCCTGTAGATCACTTTTTTTTGGGCAGTTTCACAAGATATTCTTCTCTGCAGTCTGCTGGTATTTCTTCGGTCTCCCAGACTTTACTGAATAATCTATGTAGCAATTCTGTTGATGTGTTTATGTTGGTCCTAATAGCTTCAGCTGGGATATCATCTGGGCCTGCCGCCTTTCCTTCCTTTCCACAGTTGATATCTAGTTCCATTTCTAAAGGCTGGATATCTGGGAGAATCTCCGGACCTGGTCTATTTAGAAGCATTTCAAAATATACAACCCATCTGTTCATTTGATCTTTAGTGTTAGTAAGTACCTTTCCTTGACTATTTTTGATTGATCCAGTTGGCTGACTATATTTACCTACTAATTTTCTTGTGTTACTGTAAAGTTCTCTGCGGTTTCCTTTTGTCTCCGCTCCTTGTGCTAGATCATTTAGATATTTCACTTTATCTGCCCTTATTCGCCTCCGAACTTCCTTATTGGCTTCTGTGTATTTATCCTGAGCTCTAGCTTTAGCAGCTCTAGTTTTGCTATTGTTTAAGTCTGCCTTTTTACTTTTACTTTCTTCTATCAATTTAATGGGTTCCGGTGTTATCCACGCTTCATGTTTTCGTTTTTTCTTGCCAAAAACTTCTATACAAGATCCATTCCAGATTCCTTTAGTCTGATCCCAGCAGACTTCTGTGCTAATATCTTCAGCTAACTGCTGCAACAGCTGATCCTTATTAGAGACTGTAACTTAAAACTGTTACTTAACTTCTTTATCCTTTTTCATGTGACTACAGCGGTGACAGAACTGTTTCTTGATGGTGTGACTACAGCGGGAACAGAAATGTGTGTGACTACAAAAGTAACAGACATGTGTGTGACTACAGCGGTGACAGAACTGTTTTTTGTTGGTGTGACTACAGCAATGACAGAAATTTGTGTGACTACAGCAGTGACAGACATGTGTGTGACTACAGCGGTGACAGAACTGTTTCTGGTTGGTGTGGCTACAGCGGTGACAGAACTGTTTTTTGTTGGTGTGACTGCAACAGTGACAGAACATTTTATTGTTGGTGTGACTACAGCAGTGACAAAACTGTTTCTTGTTGGTGTGACTACAGCGGTGACAGAACTGTTTCTTGTTGGTGTGACTACAGCAGTGACGGAACTGTTTCTTGTTCGTGTGACTACAGCAGTGACAGAACTGTTTCTGGTTGGTGTGACGACAGCGGTGACAGAACTGTTTCTTGTTCGTGTGACTACAGCAGTGACAGAACAGTTTCTTGTTCGTGTGACTACAGCAGTGACAGAACTGTTTCTTGTTGGTGTTACTACAGCAGTGACAGAACTGTTTCTGGTTGGTGTGACTACAGCAGTGACAGAACTGTTTCTTGTTGGTGTGACTACAGCAGTGACAGAACTGTTTCTGGTTGGTGTGACTACAGCAGTGACATAACTGTTTCTTGTTCGTGTGACTGCAACAGTGAGAGAACTGTTTCTTGTTCGTGTGACTACAGCAATGACGGACATGTGTGTGACTACAGCAGTGACAGAACTGTTTCTTGATCGTGTGACTACAGCAGTGACAGAACTGTTTCTTGTCCGTATGTGACTACAGCAGTGACAGAACTGTTTCTTGTCCGTGTGACTACAGCAGTGACAGAACTGTTTCTTGTTGGTGTGACTACAGCAGTGACAGAACTGTTTCTTGTTGGTGTGACTAGAGCAGTGACAGACATGTGTGTGACTAGAGCAGTGACAGTAATGTTTTGGCTACAGATATCTGAGGGCTGCCGGCGGATACAACGACTGGCCCACTGGGCGAGGGATTTTCTTCAACGACAAGAAAACCTTTCTTGTCTGGGTCAACGAGGAGGACCATCTGAGGTTCATCTCCATGCAGAAGGGGGGCAACCTCAAGGAGGTTTATGTTAGGCTCGTCAAGGTAATCGATGACTGTAAAGTTTTTCTTTTTCCCATTTTCTCTCCTAAATTCTTTCTTTCGGTCTAACTATCTGCATCTATAATTTAGGTTGTGAGTCTATCCATTTAATTTCTGTCCACCTTTTCCCCCATAATTCAACACATCTATCTCCATTTCTCTCTCTCTCTCTCTCTCTCTCTCTCTCTCTCTCTCTCTCTCTCTCTCCTCTCCGTCCCCTCTCTCTGTCTCTTTCCTCTCTCTCTCCTCTCTCTTTCCTCTCTCTCTCCTCTCTCTCTCCTCTCTCTCCTCTCTCTCCTCTCTCTCCTCTCTCTCCTCTCTCTCTCATCTCTCTCCTCTCTCTCTCCTCTCTCTCTCCTCTTTCTCTCCTCTCTCTTCTCTCTCTCTCTTATCTCTCTCTCCTCTCTCTCCTCTCTCTCTCCTGTCTCTCTCTCCTGTCTCTCTCTCCTGTCTCTCTCTCCTGTCTCTCTCTCCTGTCTCTCTCTCCTCTCTCTCCTCTCTCTCTCCTCTCTCTCTCTCCTCTCTCTCTCTCCTCTCTCTCCTCTCTCTCTCCTCTCTCTCTCCTCTCTATCTCCATTTCTCTCTCTCTCTCTCTCTCTCTCTCTCTCTCTCTCCTCTCTCTCCCCTCTCTCTGTCTCTTTCCTCTCTCTCTCCTCTCTCTTTCCTCTCTCTCTCCTCTCTCTCTCCTCTCTCTCCTCTCTCTCTACTCTCTCTCCTCTCTCTCCTCTCTCTCTCCTCTCTCTCCGCTCTCTCTCCTCTCTCTCTCCTCTTTCTCTCTCCTCTCTCTCTCCTCTCTCTCCTCTCTCTCTCCTGTCTCTCTCTCCTGTCTCTCTCTCCTATCTCTCTCTCCTCTCTCTCTCTCCTCTCTCTCCTCTCTCTCTCATCTCTCCTCTCTCTCTCCTCTCTTTCTCTCTTCTCTCTCTCCTCTCTCTCTCCTCTCTCTCTCCTCTCTCTCTCCTCTCTCTCTTCTCTCTCTCTTCTCTCTCTCCTCTGTCTCTCCTCTCTTTCCTCTCTCTCCTCTCTCTCTCTCCTCTCTCTCTCTCCTCTCTCTCTTCTCTCTCTCCTCTCTCTCTCCTCTCTCTCTCCTCTCTCTCTTTCCTCTCTCTCTCCTCTCTCTCTCCTCTCTCTCTGCTCTCTCTCTACTTGTCGTCTGTCTTTAATATCTCTTTCTATCTCTGTCTGTCGTCGACCATCTGTTTCCCTTTTTCTGGCACTCTGTTATTTCTGTCTGAATGTATTTCCCTCTTGTGTGAGTCATAATTAAAATATAATAAATGACAACAATATAAACACATCAAACACACATACTCCCCGTGTGGGTTCTGGGGTCTGAGGGTCCCATTGTGGGGAGAGCAAGAACAGATCCACTACCTCACCAACACATGCTGTAAAAGTTGATTAATTGGGGAGCCTCCTTCGAAGTTGGAGTGCATTTGTCCGAGAGGCAACAAACCAACAGTCTGCATAAAAATAAGTCAGATCTGTAAAACGGATGTGTACGCAACACCCAGGTTATGGAACAAGAACAGAGTTCTCGGGTGGACGAGCCACTAGAACTGTTGGCTAGAGTTTACAGCCGGTGAACGCCAAGAAACACACACACACACACACACACACACGCACACACACGCACACAGTCACACACACATACAGACAACAAACCAGTGCAAAAGTAAAACATCTAGCACAATCCTGACTGGCTACCGATGTTGGCCATGCTACAACAGAAACATCGCAGATATAAAAGACACACGATGTGGTACTTACACATACATGATGTGGTACTTACACATACAAACATGCTTGTTTGTTGACGAATACACTTGAAGGGAAAGTGGTGGTGAATGGGAGGGGGGGGGGGGGGGAGAGAGAGAAAAAATATAGCTTTATGTATTCCTCTTCTTCCCCTCTTCCTCCAATTACATCATCAAAGTGTGTGTTTGTATGTTTGTGTGTGTATAGGTTTGTGTGCGGGAGGGGCGGTTGTAGGTCGATAAAGGGAGGGGGATTAAGTGGAAAAGAGGGGGGGGGGGGGGGTCGCGATTGCAAGGATCTTTCATGTGCTCTTTCTGATGTGTTTCACAAATTGATTTTTCTCGGTTTAAGGCTGTTTTTGATGTCGGTGTTCCATTTTCTGCGTCTGCCCTTGCTCTGTGTCCATTGTGTTTCTTCAGCGTGGCTCTCTGTGGCAGTGGGTATCGGGTCATTCTCGTCAGATGGCCAAACCATTTCATCTGTTGCCCTTTAACTAACTATGACTGCTTTCAGAACTAATCTTCTTCTAATTTCTTTATCTTTTAGTTGCCTCCTTATCGTTACTCTGTCAGCTCGTTCAAGACACATCGCCTCTGTTGATTGGATTTTGCGTTCATTGGCTGGCGTAAGGTGACAAGGAGGCTCATCACATATGACCTTGATACATCTGTCTTCCTTCACATTCTCGTTTACCGTTTCCGTTGTTGATTCTAGGTTCTGGTGAAATTTTGTTAGGCCAACTCCACTAAAGATCCAATCTGTTGTAGTTTCTGTAGCATGATGTTACTACCTTGTTCTTGGTCAGCCTCCAGCTTAGCTGCACTCTTTCCTGTTGATGTATGTCTTGTATAGTATAATACAACATGATAAGCTCTTTTAATGGCCAAACCATTTTAAGTGACATATTTGCCGTTTATCACCAGTCTTGTTTTTGTGACCCTATTCTAATTTCTCTCTTCTGGTCACCCACGTGACCTCCCTTAGACATGCCATATCCTGGGCAGTCAGATTAATAATTAGCGTCTTTGTGACACCCACATACTGCAGAACTCACAAATAAGATATCAAATACGCGTAATGCGATGTAGTTTAAAATGAATTTTTTGAAAATATCAACTAAACAAGAAAATCAAACAGGCAAATCAGCCAAATCGATCTAAGTCAACCTAATGCGAAACTAAGGACTACAGCTGTAGGAACATGTTCATCGTGGAAAACCTTATCAAAGGAAGAATACCCAGATGGCATGGACATGTTTGCAGAATGTCACCTGACACGACGGGGGGCGGCGGGGGGGGGGGGGGGGAGGTGTGGGCCACCCAGGGTAAACCCAGGAAGGACACGAGAAAATATAAAGGGAAAAGAAAGGAATCTAGAAATGACAAGGGGTACCATGGGCAGACACCAGCAGACGAGCAGCAATGGAGGTCATAAGTGAATGCATTATGTGTCAACAGGGAGACGAAGAACATATGGAATAGATAGACTGCTGTCAGAAATCATATTATCTTTGCCTCAGTCATGTTATATTAGTGTTTTATGCTTTATTTTAATTTTATTTGCTTGTGCTTTTAGGACAGCGATTGCAAAAGTCTCAGTCTGTCATGATTATGCTGACACAGAGCTGAGGCCCTCACATAACCTCGTTCCTGTTGCCATTTCGTTAGCAGGTCAATATCTGTTTCCTCTCCGGGCTGCTGCCAGAGAAGTTTGACCAACCCTGGGACTGACAGAATTTATTTCTGAGTGGCGAACCAGCAGAGCATATCCCATACACCCGTTTAGCTCCCAAGGAAGTTACAATTAGGTCATCCATCATGATTACACCAGTCTGGTGAAGCCTTCAGTCCTATACTGGTTAGTATGTCTGACCAGCAAGTCATTCAGTAATCATAGATCTCTCACCTGTACTTGTTCGTGTTTCCTGGCAGGCTGTCAAAGCCTTAGAGAGCAGTGGCCTGTCATTTGCCAAACGGAAAGGCCTAGGATACTTGACCTTCTGTCCCTCGAACCTGGGAACAACTCTGCGTGCTTCCGTACACATCAAGATCCCCAAGCTGTCGGCATCCCCCGAGTTTCAGGCTTTCTGTGACAAGTACAACATCCAGGCCAGAGGTCAGTGGCCAGTGTCAAACTCATCTTATGTTAGATTGCTTATCTTACCTTGCTTTGCTCCTCCTCATCCTTCTTCGTCTCCCTCGTCACCACCATTCTTCTCCTTATCTTCCCTCTCCTCCTCCATTTAAATCTTCGACAAACTGAGAATAAGATCTTTACATATTTGTTTCTGTTTGGTGTCATTTTGAAGGTAAAGATTACTACGCGATCGAGTAGCTAGCATCGGGATAAGCCTCCATGGTCGTCTCTTACGACATGCATGGTAGATTACAGTATTAGCATTGATTACTTCCTTTACGACTACGGACACCGCGCTGAGGCATCACACCATGTATTACTCAACGCAAATCCAACTTTTAATGCATGAAAGAGCAAAGACGTCACTGTGCTTGGAACTATCCAGGAATGCTTAGTCTCTCCCAAAAAGTCTCCCTGCGTCTCATCCTTGACTAGATGACTCTCCGTGCGTCTCATCCTTGACTAGATGACTCTCCGTAAGTCTCATCCTTGACTAGATGACTCTCCGTGCGTCTCATCCTTGACTAGATGACTCTCCGTAAGTCTCATCCTTGACTAGATGACTCTCCGTGCGTCTCATCCTTGACTAGATGACTCTCCGTAAGTCTCATCCTTGACTAGATGACTCTCCGTGCGTCTCATCCTTGACTAGATGACTCTCCGTAAGTCTCATCCTTGACTAGATGACTCTCCGTAAGTCTCGTCTTTCTCTGTTAATATTAACCAATTCACTAGACGTTGATCATTGACACCCAACAGAGTACAGACAATCGTCTCTGTGCGATTCATTATTTGCTTGATTTGGATTGGATTCATTCATGCATTCCTGCCGCTGCTCAAGTGACCGCTCAATCACACATCATTTAATTAATTGATTCGTTATCTCATTCATTCCTTCGTCCATTAATTATTCATTTTGTGTGTACATTGAAACATTCTTTCAATAATTCATTTACTAAACATGCCATAACAACACCCTCTTCCTGTACATATAGTAAAGTACCCTCTTCCTGTACATATAGTAAAGTACCCTCTTCCTGTACATATAGTAAAGTACCCTTTTCCACGCCTTTGGGTGTATTGGGCATAGAGGGCTAGACCTCTTTTTTTTTAGACCATTCGGCACAAGGTGGGCGATGTGGTGAGTATTACGCCGGCCGCCTTTTTTCCCAGGACTGTACCTGGTAGCCACTTAAGGCTGGGTCGACCTGAGAGCCAATGTCATTATGGAAAGAGACAAAAAGTCCGGCTCCGAACCCTCGACCTTCCAATCCGCAAGCCAGCGTTTAGCCACTTCAGCACGAGGTCTTTCTTTCCTGTTCTGATGTAAAACAAAAATAAACAATGAACATGTTGTGCTCTGCCCGCCCACAGGTATCCATGGAGAACACACGGAGTCCGAGGGCGGGGTTTACGATATCTCCAACAAGCGAAGGCTGGGGCTGACAGAGATCCAGGCCATCCAGGAAATGCGTCGAGGCGTGGAAGCCGTCATCGCCAAAGAGATATCACTGGGCGGAGGCAAATCGGACTAATCAAACCTTGTCTTTGGTGTCCTGTACTTTCTGGCTGCTACCATAATCCATAGCACAGTTGTAGGACTTTACTCTTACAGATCGGCCAGCCAGGAAGTCACAAACACAAAGTGTACAATGTATTGCCTAGTTGCCTTTCATGTTTCGCCTAATCTCATCAAGTGCATATTGATATTCGTGTCTTCTTTGTTCACATTTACAATAGAGAAATTTTGTTGATATAAATAATTTGCTCGAATGTAGTCTAGGTCATTTTTCTCTGTTCTTCTTATGTTATTTGCATGTTTTATAAATTTTTACTACAAAGAAAAACCTGGCATCAAGAGTAAAATGTGTATAGCAAGCTATGGAAGAAAAACCAGGCCTCCAGAGTGAAATGTGCATAGCAAGCTATGGAAGAAAAACCGGGCCTCAAGAGTTAAATGTGCATAGCAAGCTATGGAAGAAAAACAAGGCCTCAAGAGTAAAATGTGCATAGCAAGCTATGGAAGAAATACCAGGCCTCCAGAGTAAAATGTGTATAGCAAGCTATGGAAGAAAAACCTGGCCTCAAGAGTAAAATGTGTACAGCAAGCTATGGAAGAAAAACCAGGCCTCAAGAGTAAAATGTGTACAGCAAGCTATGGAAGAAAAACCAGGCCTCAAGAGTAAAAGTTGCGTAGCAAGCTGTGGAAGAAACCACGAGAGACCTGCAGCAACTTGAAAAACAATTCATAGCCCACTTGACAATTTGACCTCATACGAAATGGAACACAAAGAAAAAGAAGATAGGGCGTCCGTCTTTTTTCTTTAGAACGGCTAGCCGCAAGCCGAGACCTCGCACAACTATGAACTCCGTTGCTCCAGAGGTCGTTGGGAGGAATGTGTTCAATAGGCGGCTGTGGATCAACACAGGTGGTGGTCGTTGGGAAGAAGCCAGATAGTGGGACAGATAGCTCAGTAATGTATCGCAGTACCAGCACCACCCCCTCCCATCTCTTCCTCCTCTCTACCCCCTCTCTATCTCCTTCCCTCTCTCTATTCCCTCTATATCTCACTACCCCTCTCCTCTCTCTTCCTGTCTCACCTCCTTTCTCTCCCTCTCTCCTCTCTCTCTCTCTTTCTCTCTCTCTCTCTCTCTTTCTCTCTCTCTCCGAAAATCTGTTATGTTCAGTTTGCTGTGCTGTGTCTAAGACCAGTGTTCTTCAGCCGGTGGTTCGCCCAAAAGGCTAGTGTGCCACAACTGTTTGCCTCATCTTATAACGGAGTCACTGGAGGCCGTTGTTATCTTGCAGGATGCAGCCTGTATGATCAACACGTCAATGATAACAACAACACAAGGTACAGATGCCATCAACTGTTAAGCCACATCCGGTTTACGCTAACCTCCAAGAAGCAGCAGCAGCAGCAGATCTCGCATTGGCTGAACATTCTAACTGTGTCACGTCGAATTTTACAACATTACCGCTATCTACAAATGTTGCGGCTAGACGCTTTGGTTACACCAAGGTGCCTCATTCTCTGCAGGCCGTAACAATCTTCTTTTTCTACTGATTGCATTGCTTGTTCCCAAAGGGCCTTGACCACATCTGCCCTGTCATGTATCAATTCACCACCCAGTGGTGCAGATCCAGCCAATCTCTCTGCCTGTTCATTATCCACCACGCCGGCATCGTCTGGAGAAAAGATCCAAAGTATGCTCACTACCAGTGACCTTTCCAGTCCAGCTTGCCACTCTGCTCGAAGCACCACCGTCTACACCTTCCAGCATGCTTTCAGTGTCTGTTACAATTACGACATGTGTATGCATCTTGTTCTCTAGCATCTTGTAAAAGGACCAGGTAAATGTCCTGAAAAATAAAGGCGACCGACGTTCTGCTGACCCCATTATCCACAAAGTGCCGATTGGTGTATAAAATGTAGGTCTAGCCCAATGTGCCCAATACGCCTGAAGTTGTGAAAGAGGGTCCTTTGATATATTTGTGTTCGCTTTTTAGTTAGTTAGTTAGTTGGGTTATCATCATTGCACTCCGGACATGTCCTTAGGTGCTCAGATCCTCCCCTCAGTATGAACCCCAACGTCCAGTGACTAGTTCTATGTTGATTAACAAGTCTGGTGTGCGTCTCGTTCTTTTGCTATGCCGATCCTAATTCCCAAGTCTGCCATTCTGGCGAGTGATGTGGATTCACTGCCACCAAAGTCCTCTATCCGTCCCATTTCTCTGAGGGCATTGATAATATCATCATGATCCATAGGCTGACCGTCGGTAGTGATAGCGGATCCAGCCAATCTGTCAGCTCTTTCATTTCCATCGACGCCTGCGTGTCCCGGAACAAAAATAATTAGTCGCCATCGGACGTCGAATACACCCTGAGGGAAGTCTGAACTCACGTGCATGTAGTCCATTGCATTGGTTCAGACCCCATTCGCTTATGTTCGCATTTATGTTTGGTTATTTGTCAAGTGAGTCTTGAAACACGTTCCACTGTTTTGGTGGCCGTCTTAGACTGTATGAGCCCAACACACAGTGTGGGTGCCTGGCAGAACTATTGGGGAAAAGACCCCATACCCCTTTGTATCCACCACCCTCCTCCCCCCAAACATTGTTGTAAACCTCGATCAGTTGAAGTGTTTCCTTCGAAATCGGAGTGTACCTGCCTGAGAGAGAACGAACCTAATGTCTTTACACAAATATGCAAGATCTGTAAAACGAATGTGCACGCAAAAATCAAGTTCTGTAACAATACCAGTCTAGTAAATGCGAATGAGAAGACTGAGACAAACCATATGCAGATCGACCATAGGCAAGAGGAGACAACCATTGTATGTGTCCCTAGATAATCGAGCTCCACTCACACTGAACAGGACTTCATCATCATCATCGGGTGCCTTGCCGACTGGCGTGGGCGATCATGCCTCTCCATAATCTGCGATCTCCTGCAGCATGTATCAGTTCGTGTGCCGACACACCTCCATGCCATGCAACAAGACTGTCAAGCATCTTCTCTCGAACAGGACTTAGAGAAGTGAATTGTACAGACAATAAACGATACCTATCCCCGTGCAATTGTTCCATACCCAGAAGGCCTTCGTTAAAGATGACATCCTCCATGCTGTCATACAGCGGTTGCCTTTTCCCGTAGCACCAAATAATCTCCCCCGGTACCGGGTCGACCAAATCGCCCAGATGTGTACAAATGTTTCGCACAAAGACGTTTTCACCACTGCCCGTAGGCCCCGTCACACGCTCCCTCTACCTTTCCTCGCCGAGGCCAAAATAAATTGCTTATGGCCGGGGGGGGGGGAACAAAGATCCCACCCCCCCCCCCATATATTAAATACAAATTCCGGAGGAAAGTTGGGGGGGGGGGGGGGTCAGGGGTTCATTTACCTGAAGCCAGAAGTTCCGGCGCCTTTGATTGCAGCAAGCCTTCATAACACAGAAATCTGTTTCCCCTCCGGGACTGCGGTCTGTAGGATTTCCATCTCAAGGATGAGAATCACACAGGCACAAATCCCGAAAACACCATTCAACCGTTTAGCCATATAGCACAGTTATATTTGGGAACACCACAACGGTTACAAGGAAACATGAATTCCAGTGTGGTTTAGTGTTGAGTAACATAACCCTTGATCCGATAGGGTCGTGGAGGTGTGCTGATGGGAGCACTAGCACGCACGACCCGCCATCTTTCTCTGTCTTCCGCTTGATGAATAAGTGTATGATAACTTAGCACTGTACATTTCTTGATGTTGTCATTCCAGGTTCTCATTTTGTTCGATTCCCCCCCCCCCTTTTTCCCCCCTTTCCATGTTCTTTGAAGCACAGTCTTTGCAATCGGATCATGACTCGCCGCGTGCCCAAACCAAGCTAGCTTTGTGGGAAATTTTACAATTATGAGATCCTTGTTCAAGACCTCAAAGATCGACCCCGCCTGAAATGGATACCAGGTACAGTCCTTGGAAGTAAAGGCGGCTGTTGTGATGTTGATCACATCTCACACAGAGTGCCGATTGGTCTATAAAAAATATAGGTGTAGTTCTATACGAAAAATTTTCACTGAAGACCCCCATTTTATCAACTAACATAATGGCCCTCTGTGTGTGTCGTGTGCGAAACTAAATGCTAGCTCGTCATGGCAGTTGCTACGGCGACCATGTTGTTGTTATTGTGCTAGAGACCCGCTGGTGCACAGACTCCGGCTCCAGACAAGATGGGGGTGGACTACTACGCGATTCTCTGTCTCACCAGGAGCGCCACCGACGCTGACATCAAGAAACTGTAAGATAACACACGCTGGATGTATGTTGTTCTGTCTCTGTAAGATTCCGTAGCCTTACCGGCGTATGAGAGGGAGGATGTGAGGGATGTAGTGCCTTACCGGCGTATGAGAGGGAGGATGTGAGGGATGTAGTGCCTTACCGGCGTATGAGAGGGAGGATGTGAGGGATGTAGTTAAATGCCACGAAAGAAGCAATAATAGTATACTTTACTAGTAGTATTATTACTAATTACTTGAAAATAGACAAAACGATACATTTGGCACTCTTCCAAATACCGGTCCCAAATTATTCACTGTTTAAATGTACTTCAAAAGCTAAACCTAAATAAGAATGATCAATGCATTTAATGAAAGGCACAATAAAATATAAATCCACTTTTTCATGATAAAACACTCATTGTACAACCTCCGTCATAATCACAATAAAAACGGTATGGACAGGACACTGTACAGAAAAAATAGTGATAGAAATTTTAGGCTCTCCTTTAAATAATGGTCGCTAGCTGGACAGCGACAGTCGCTTAGTCGAAGTTCACTTCCTTGGCTGCAGTGCAAATACGGAGTGGACAAGTCAGGAATCACAGAGTTATAAAATAACCGACATATAAAATAGCAAAAATATACTCATACTCTGAAAGCTCAACAAACACTTTATTCCTATCAAAACGCTAAGGGTTGAAAACAATGATATTTACACTGATATCCATCTGTGGTAGTTGATAATTTTTTTTTTTTTTTAAATTTAATACTAATATAATAACCAGAGATGAGTGGAGGTGTGTGACATCTGCAGCAATGAACCCCAAGGGCTCGGAATGCTGAAAAAGAAGAAGAAATTTAATGCTGTTAATGCACATTGTTGTTCTGTAGAGTTGCCCATCTTTATCATGTGTTTTATTGTCATAGGCTTATTGCAGCCAATCATATCTTCACTTGGAACATGTCAAGTAATAAATGTGACGTGTATGTCTGCAAAAATTGTGTCGCACAGGTACAGGAAACTGTCTCTAAAGTATCACCCAGGCTAGAACATGTCAGGTAATAAATGTGATGTGTAAATCTGCAATAATTGTGTCGCACAGGTACAGGAAACTGTCTCTAAAGTATCACCCAGGCTAGAACATGTCAGGTAATAAATGTGATGTGTAAATCTGCAATAATTGTGTCGCACAGGTACAGGAAACTGTCTCTAAAGTATCACCCAGGCTAGAACATGTCAGGTAATAAATGTGATGTGTAAATCTGCAATAATTGTGTCGCACAGGTACAGGAAACTGTCTCTAAAGTATCACCCAGGCTAGAACATGTCAAGTAATAAATGTGATGTGTAAATCTGCAATAATTGTGTCGCACAGGTACAGGAAACTGTCTCTAAAGTATCACCCAGGCTAGAACATGTCAAGTAATAAATGTGACGGGTATGTCTGCAATAATTGTGTCGCGCGGGTACAGGAAACTGTCTCTAAAGTATCACCCAGGCTAGAACATGTCAAGTAATAAATGTGACGGGTATGTCTGCAAAAATTGTGTCGCACAGGTACAGGAAGCTGTCTCTAAAGTATCACCCAGAAAAAAACCCAGGAGACCAGGATGCGGCCGATAAGTTCATGCAGGTTGCTGAGGCCTTCGATGTCTTATCAGATCGTAAGTGTTGTTATATTTTTATTTTGTAATTTAGTGGACACTCTGATAAGTTACTTCTTCTTTCTTTTACTCTTTTAGACCCGTTAACTTTTACAGACTCAGCCTACATTAATTTCCCTTCACAAAAATGGCAGAGGGGGTGGTGTACAGAAAAAGCAATAAAGAATGTAATATACTTCTAATCACTACAAAAATCTTTATTTTTTTAAGAGAAGTGAATGTACATTTTGAATATGATAATACGTTAATGTTTAATCCTGTTATAGCTAGTTAGAAAGCAGAAATCAGCAGGGGTTAATTTCACAACAACAAAATTTTACAAAAAAATTCTTCACTGACCATGGTTTTGCAGCATTAAGAGCAGTGAACATCCAAATTTAAGAATAACACTTTAAAGTTTGTTCATTTTTTTACATATTCCAAAGTTTTAATAAGTTTCTGGATTAGTTTAGTTTAGCACTCAGAGGCTCTAAATTCTCACAGAGTGCTGAACACAATTTCAGAGAAAAAGTGGCAGGAAAATTGACCATTACACACATGCTATTTACTAATTACTTTATATAGTTATATACAGACTGAAGCTGCAATAATTTCATTGTAGCTCAGCCATAGTAATGGTTCTCTATTTGTTTACAGCACTTTCCTTCTCTTACAGCCTAAATACGGCAGCAATGGAACATTCTCTGCGTCCATCTCATCAGAATTGATGGGCTCCCAAACAGCTGATCGCTGAGCTGCTGCTGCTGGTGTCAATTAACCGTCCAAATCACTTTCCGGAGAATCTGAAATTTCATTATCATTATCAGAATTGAGAACATTCGACTGAAACAATTTCTTAGCTTCGGCTACAGAAAGGCGCATAATGCGGCCTGTACTTGTGGTTGGAACATGGATGTCCATGGTGTCAAACACAAAATTACAAAATGCACGGTCTGGAAAGAGATAAGATCAGTTTGCAACTACATGAGGCTGAATAAAAACTAATATACAAAGAAACATTTTTGATTGGTTTACTTTAAAAATAGCTCCAGACATTAGAAACAAATATAGAGCTGTGTGCGAAACAACATGTACGGGATACACGATCAATACTCACAGTGTTGTTTGGGCAAATTAGAACTTCTCAATCGACACTCACAGCATTGCTTAGGCCTTGAAGAGTTAAACAAAAAATATCTTCCATGTGGGTTAAGCAGAAAATATCTTCTGTGTGGGTTAAACAAAAAATATCTTCTGTGTGGGTTCAGGTGTCCCATTTTTTGGTAAATAGAAAAGACTCACTGTCCCTTGTTGAACATGTTGTAAATCTTGCTGTAAACACAACATGTTGTAAATCTAGCTGTAAACACCACATGTTGTAAATCTTGCTGTAAACACCACATGTTATAAATCTTGCTGTAAACACCGCTTGTAAATCTTGCTGTAAACACCGCTTGTAAATCTTGCTGTAAACACCACATGTTGTAAATTTTGCTGTAAACACCGCTTGTAAATCTTGCTGTAAACACCACATGGTATAAATCCAGCTGTAAACACCACATGTTGTAAATCTTGCTGTAAACACCGCTTGTAAATATTGCTGTAAACACCACATGTTGTAAATCTAGCTGTAAACACCACATGTTGTAAATCTTGCTGTAAACACCACATGTTGTAAATCTTGCTGTAAACACCACATGTTGTAAATCTTGCTGTAAACACCACTTGTTGTAAATCTTGCTGTAAACACCACATGTTGTAAATCTTGCTGTAAACACCCCTTGTTGTAAATCTTGCTGTAAACACCACATGTTGTAAATCTAGCTGTAAACACCACTTGTTGTAAATCTTGCTGTAAACACCACATGTTGTAAATCTTGCTGTAAACACCACATGTTGTAAATCTAGCTGTAAACACCACTTGTTGTAAATCTTGCTGTAAACACCACATGTTGTAAATCTTGCTGTAAACACCACTTGTTGTAAATCTTGCTGTAAACACCACATGTTGTAAATCTAGCTGCAAACACCACATTTTGCCCTAACAAAATTAGCATTTCCAAGAGCCGTACTTTGGGCACTCCAATCTGAAAAATTACTTGGTATTCGGATGCTACTCTCCAAACTGGGCAACTGATGTAAGGTAGCTATGCAGTGGATACAATCTCACTCTGGAGTTCCTAGAAATGAGAGAGCCGATAAACTAGCTAAGGAAGGTGCAAACGAAGAACCACTGACGTGCCAGTCTCTTGTCAACAGAAGAAGAAAATAATCAGATCAGTCAGAAAACCACCAAATTGGTATAAGTCAATTACCATATTATTGACAGACCAGAGCAAGTAATTTTTCTACGCCTTAGAACAGGCCACATTTAACTTTTGTGAAATTTTTACATGAAATATAAGACTGAAACATGTAGATTGGCACCTGAGACAACACATCATGTCCTCCAAGACTCTCCCAAATACAGCATATCACGGCCCAAACTTTTGGCTTAGAAAAACAAGCAAGCCAAACTTTATGGGTTGCTGAGTAAATTTAAAAAAAAAAGACAGTGAAGTTCAAACTAGAGACAACATTGCAGATAGAGATAATCTATTTCCAACAAATGAAAGAAAAAGAAGAATCACAACATGTCTTAAAGAAACTAGATCTCTCACGAGCTCTTTCACCTTATGCACTTTTCTCCCCTAGGAGTCTCTTATATCCTGTGTCCGTCTACACACTCCTCGGTCCAGTCTTTCTTTCCCGTTACTATGCCATCAGCTACTGTTCTTTCCAATCCACCACAACTCTTGATACTGGCCAGAATTTTCCAAGATACAATGCTGTTTGAAAACCATTTATTTTTCCTGTTTAGATCTTTTAGGATATCAGTTTTTCTTGTCTTCTTTGTCCATTGTATTCTGAGAATCTGTCTATGGTGTTTCAGCCCGGAAGACTTCTTTTTTTTAGAATGTTGTATTTTTGTCTGAGAAGACGAATGAACAAGAAAGATTGTAATTTATTTAATGTCTTTCAATTGTATAGCTAGAAAACGTGCAGTCTATGACCAGTTCGGTGAAGAGGGTCTCAAGAGAGGGGTGCCTGTCGGAAGCGGAGAAGCTGGTGCATGGACTTATGGGTACACATTTCATGGAAATGCAGAGAAAGTCTTCAGAGATTTCTTTGGCGGTGATAATCCATTTCAAGGTAGGCCATTTTTTTTCTTATTTGTAATTCTGGGCAGACATTAAACAGGCAATTAAGTGGGAAACAGAAGGATTGCGTAAACGAGATTATCCAAGAGAAATTAATATAGCTGAAAAAATTCCTTTGAGGGTAGGTCATTTCTCTTCTTGATTGTAATTGTGGGTTGAGGCAGGAATAGTTATCACGTTATCTGGTGTCTCACAGAGCATCAGCGAACCATGACACTGGGATCAACAGTTAGAAACAGAAGCTGGCGCTGTATTGGGGACATCATGAAAAGAAGCAAGCAGAAAATTATTAAACAGGCACTGAAATGAGAAACAGATGGATTGAGGAAATAAAGGTATCTAACAGATACCTTAAAATAGGTGTTGCTGAACCAACAAATGAATGAACAAACTTTATTTTCGAAAGGTTACAAATTGGGCACGCAGGCCCGTCTGACATTCAGCCCTTCTCATCAGTTCTCATTATGCCTAGTGGCACATGAGGCTTCAGAGAGGACTTTCCATGCTTTCCTGTCCTGTGCAATCTTCAGTGCAGTTTTCCATGTCAACGATGCCACACTCAGGTCACTTTCCATCGTTCGTCTCCATGTTGTTTTTGGGCGCCCCTGTTTTCTCTTTCCCTCTGGTGTCCATGTGAGAGCTGTTTTGGCAGGTATATCAGAAGTCATTCTCATAAGGTGGCCAAGCCATTTCCATCTTCTCTTGGTAATCATACTGTCTAAAGTTTCTTGGTTTGTGGCTTGAAGTAGTTTAGTGTTTGAGATTGTATCTGGCCAGAAAATTTTAATAATTCTACGTAGACATGTGTGGTGGAAGGTGGACAGCTTGTGTGCATCCTTTTTTGGTCATTCTCCAGCATTCCGCTCCATAAAGAAGAACTGGCAAAATGATTCAGCCCTTCTAAGCACTCATTTTTCAGAGTACCAAAGCCTTTTATCAATAATGCATGTTATGGATACAAAAAGAAATATACATTATAGAATAATGCATACACACATCATGTGTATACAATTGTACACACTCACACACACGTATACATACTCTTACATTCTCATACATGAACACTCAAATACAGACACCCGTAATACATACATACATGCATCTACATACATACACAAACATAAAACACACATACATACATAGACATACATGCACAAACAGAAAACACACAGATGTACATACATAGACATACATGCACAAACAGAAAACACACACACATATATACATAGACATACATACACAAACAGAAAACACACACACGTACATACATAGACATACATACACAAACAGAAAACACACACACGTACATACATAGACATACATGCACAAACATAAAACACACATACGTACATACATAGACATACATGCACAAACAGAAAACACACCTGCACCTGAGAGAAGCTAATGATTCTGACCTGGATTACATCCATGATATTGAGTAGTTCTGGTGTGAGAGCTTCATACATCATTATGTCAGTTTTATATTTGCATGCTGTGTCAGCCAGAAGATTCACCAAAACTGAAGTGTCACAAAGGATGATTTAACTAATTGTACTCAGGGGACAACATTTTGAACATTTAGACTGTCCCAGCACCTCTCAAATTTCATCAAGGCTGCTACTGCCCCCAGACCGTCCCAGCTTCCCCCACCCCCAGGAAAGAGGAGGGGGGCAGAGGCACCCACCTTGGAAAACACTGTTATAGACGATAGTGTTATAATGTGCTATGGGCAGGCCTGGGACTCGAAGTCCGTGACAATGGCAGATGTAACGAGCAAGATTTTCCTGCATAAAAAAAAAGCCTTCGTGGCTTGTATGGTCGTGGGGTCAAGAAACAAGACCCTCCCATTGAGAGAGACTTGTATCTGAGCCTGGAGGAGGTCTATCATGGCTGTACAAAGAAAATGAAAATTTCCAGAAGGGTGAGTCTTTAACAGATGCATGACAAGCTAGATGTAGTCCAGGCCCTTTAGGAGAGAGAGAGAGTGAGAGAGAGAGAGAGAGAGAGAGAGAGAGAGAGAGAGTGAGAGAGAGAGAGTGAGAGAGAGAGAGTGAGAGAGAGAGAGAGAGTGAGAGAGAGAGTGAGAGAGAGAGAGTGAGAGAGAGAGTGAGAGAGAGGGAGAGAGAGAGAGAGAGGGAGAGTGTGAGAGAGAGAGAGTGAGAGAGAGACAGAGAGAGAACAGAGCAGAAGCATAGATATCTTTAAGACAGAGAGAGAACAGTGCAGAAGCATAGATATCTCTAAGACAGAGAGAGAGAACAGTGCAGAAGCATAGATATCTTTAAGACAGAGAGAGAGAACAGTGCAGAAGCATAGATATCTTTAAGACAGAGAGAGAACAGTGCAGAAGCATAGATATCTTTAAGACAGAGAGAAATCAGTGGAGAAGCATAGATATCTTTAAGACAGAGAGAGAGAACAGTGCAGAAGCATAGATATCTTTAGGACAGAGAGAGAACAGTGCAGAAGCATAGATATCTCTAAGACAGAGAAAGAGAACAGTGCAGAAGCATAGATATCTTTAAGACAGAAAGAGAGAACAGTGCAGAAGCATAGATATCTTTAGGACAGAGAGAGAACAGTGCAAAAGCATAGATATCTTTAAGACAGAGAGAGAACAGCGCAGAAGCATAGATATCTTTAAGACAGAGAGAGAGAACAGTGCAGAAGCATAGATATCTTTAGGACAGAGAGAGAGAGAGAACAGTGCAGAAGCATAGATATCTTTAGGACAGACAGAGAGAGAACAGTGCAGAAGCATAGATATCTTTAGGACAGACAGAGAGAGAATAGTGCAGAAGCATAGATATCTTTAGGACAGACAGAGAGAGAACAGTGCAGAAGCATAGATATCTTTAGGACAGAGAAAGAGAACAGTGTAGAAGCATAGATATCTTTAGGACAGAGAGAGAACAGTGCAGAAGCATAGATATCTTTAAGACAGAGAGATAGAACAGTGCAGAAGCATAGATATCTTTAGGACAGAGAGAGAGAACAGTGCAGAAGCATAGATATCTTTAAGACAGAGAGAGAGAACAGTGCAGAAGCATAGATATCTTTAAGACAGAGAGAGAACAGTGCAGAAGCTTAGATATCTTTAAGACAGAGAGAGAGAACAGTGCAGAAGCATAGATATCTTTAAGACAGAGAAAGAGAACAGTGCAGAAGCATAGATATCTTTAGGACAGAGAGAGAACAGTGCAGAAGCATAGATATCTTTAAGACAGAGAGAGAGAACAGAGCAGAAGCACAGATAACTTTAGGACAGAGAGAGGACAGTGCAGAAGCATAGATATCTTTAAGACAGAGAGAGAGAACAGTGCAGAAGCATAGATATCTTTAGGACAGAGAGAGAACAGTGCAGAAGCATAGATATCTTTAAGACAGAGAGAGAACAGTGCAGAAGCATAGATATCTTTAAGACAGAGAGAGAACAGTGCAGAAGCATAGATATCTTTAAGACAGAGAGAGAGAACAATGCAGAAGCATAGATATCTTTAAGACAGAGAGAGAACAGTGCAGAAGCATAGATATCTTTAAGACAGAGAGAGAACAGTGCAGAAGCATAGATATCTTTAGGACAGAGAGAGAACAGTGCAGAAGCATAGATATCTTTAAGACAGAGAGAGAACAGTGCAGAAGCATAGATATCTTTAGGACAGAGAAAGAGAACAGTGCAGAAGCATAGATATCTTTAAGACAGAGAGAGAACAGTGCAGGAGCATAGATATCTTTAGGACAGAGAAAGAGAACAGTGCAGAAGCATAGATATCTTTAGGACAGAGAGAGAACAGTGCAGAAGCACAGATATCTTTAGGACATAGAGAGAACAGTGCAGAAGCATAGATATCTTTAAGACAGAGAAAGAGAACAGTGCAGAAGCATAGATATCTTTAGGACAGAGAGAGAGAGAACAGTGCAGAAGCATAGATATCTTTAGGACAGACAGAGAGAGAACAGTGCAGAAGCATAGATATCTTTAGGACAGACAGAGAGAGAACAGTGCAGAAGCATAGATATCTTTAGGACAGACAGAGAGAGAACAGTGCAGAAGCATAGATATCTTTAGGACAGAGAAAGAGAACAGTGCAGAAGCATAGATATCTTTAGGACAGAGAGAGAACAGTGCAGAAGCATAGATATCTTTAAGACAGAGAGAGAGAACAGTGCAGAAGCATAGATATCTTTAGGACAGAGAGAGAGAGAACAGTGCAGAAGCATAGATATCTTTAAGACAGAGAGAGAGAACAGTGCAGAAGCATAGATATCTTTAAGACAGAGAGAGAACAGTGCAGAAGCTTAGATATCTTTAAGACAGAGAGAGAACAGTGCAGAAGCATAGATATCTTTAAGACAGAGAAAGAGAATAGTGCAGAAGCATAGATATCTTTAGGACAGAGAAAGAGAACAGTGCAGAAGCATAGATATCTTTAAGACAGAGAGAGAACAGTGCAGAAGCATAGATATCTTTAAGACAGATAGAGAGAACAGTGCAGAAGCATAGATATCTTTAAGACAGAGAGAGAACAGTGCAGAAGCATAGATATCTCTAAGACAGAGAGAGAGAACAGTGCAGAAGCATAGATATCTTTAAGACAGAGAGAGAACAGTGCAGAAGCATATATATCTTTAGGACAGAGAGAGAACAGTGCAGAAGCATAGATATCTTTAAGACAGAGAGAGAGAACAGAGCAGAAGCACAGATATCTTTAGGACAGAGAGAGAGAACAGTGCAGAAGCACAGATATCTTTAGGACAGAGAAAGAGAACAGTGCAGAAGCACATATATCTTTAAGACAGAGAAAGAACAGTGCAGAAGCATAGATATCTCTAAGACAGAGAGAGAACAGTGCAGAAGCACAGATATCTTTAAGACAGAGAGAGAGAGAACAGTGCAGAAGCATAGATATATTTATGACAGAGAGAGAGAGAGAGAGAGAGAACAGTGCAGAAGCATAGATATCTCTAAGACAGAGAGAGAACAGTGCAGAAGCACTGGAGACAATGGTGTAGCAGGAAGTGACCAGGGGAACTGATCTACACTCAAACACTTTGGGAAAAGGCAAGATGGAGAAACAATCAGACTGCTGCTGGTACCATTAGAATTGTAACTCTGCCCTGGCTGCTGAGATAGAGACAGAGTACTTACGGGAATGTCCAAAGTGCTGTGGTGTCAGTTCTTATCTTAATAAGCTCAAAAATATTCAACCATTACACATGACACAATAAAAAATTTCAAAACAAAAGTGCAATTAAAATCAGTTTAATAGCAGAGGATGAAGCATTGAAAATTAAATATCTGACTTCATGTACAAGTGCAGTTGGAAAGGTAAAACAATTGTTTTATTCAATAATAAACACCAATTAATGCTAAGAGGTTATGAACATAAACGCATAATCCCAGCATATCAGGATTTGAAGTCAGCTTAAGGCTATTTGTGATTTCGTCAAACCATTTCGCCAAACCATCCACAGAGCAGTATAAAACTATGGAACTTGTAACATTTAAACCATAAACAGCCAGTCAGTGCTGGAACTGGTCTGTGTCATCATATGAAGATGTGAAAATAACTTTTATTAATAATATTAATCTTCCGAAAAATTGCAAATAAACCTTTTGTGTTAACATATCAAACAATGTCATGAGTTGCTTTTCTTCTTGTTTTGTTATTCACGAAAGTTGTCTCTAGAAGAAAGGATGGTGTCGGGTGCAGAATTATTGTTAATATGAAATGACAAAAATTATCAATAATATATCCCAAATGTGACATATTCCAGGTCATGAATGAAGATGGGCACACGTCAAGCATCCGTGACAAAATCCTGACCATTGATGTGAAGCGAGGCTGGAAGCCGGGGACAAAGATTACATTTACTCAAGAAGGTGACCAGGGTCCTAACAACATACCTGGTTAGTGATGTCACGTTCTTCTTTTTCTTCTTCAGCATTCCAAGCCCTTGAGGATCCTTGCTGCAGACATCACCTGACTCCATTCATCTCCGTGTGGGTTCTGGGGTCCCATTGTGAGAAAAACAAGAATAGACCCACTACATAGAACTGACTAACTAGAGGCTTCCTTCAAAATCAGTGCATCTGCCTGAGAGGCAAGGAACCAACAATCTGCACATAAATAAGTCACATCTGTAAAATGGATGTGTATGTAACAGTCAGGTCCTGGAACAAGACTAAAATCCAGAAGTGGACGAACAACCAGAACTTTCTATTGGAGCTACAGCTAGTGAACGTGAAGAAGATAAATTAGTTGGTGAAATACAGGAATCATTTTAGTATTCAGTTAGGTAACTTTAAAACTGTTAACTCATCTAATGGTGTCACATCTAGTGGTGACACATCTAGTGGTGACTCATCTAGTGGTGACACATCTAGTGATGACTCATCTGTTGGTGACACATCTAGTGGTGACACATCTAGTGGTGACTCATCTAGTGGTGACACATCTAGTGGTGACTCATCTAGTGGTGACACATCTAGTGGTGACACATCTAGTGGTGACACATCTAGTGGTGACACATCTAGTGGTGACTCATCTAGTGGTGACACATCTAGTGGTGACTCATCTAGTGGTGACACATCTGGTGGTGACACATCTAGTGGTGACACATCTAGTGGTGACACATCTAGTGGTGACTCATCTGTTGGTGACACATCTAGTGGTGACACATCTAGTGATGACTCATCTGTTGGTGACACATCTAGTGGTGACACATCTAGTGGTGACTCATCTAGTGGTGACACATCTAGTGGTGACACATCTAGTGGTGACACATCTAGTGGTGACTCATCTAGTGGTGACACATCTAGTGGTGACACATCTAGTGGTGACACATCTAGTGGTGACACATCTAGTGGTGACACATCTAGTGGTGACACATCTAGTGGTGACACATCTAGTGGTGACTCATCTAGTGGTGACTCATCTAGTGGTGACACATCTAGTGGTGACACATCTAGTGGTGACACATCTAGTGGTGACACATCTAGTGGTGACACATCTAGTGGTGACTCATCTAGTGGTGACACATCTAGTGGTGACACATCTAGTGGTGACACATCTAGTGGTGACACATCTAGTGGTGACTCATCTAGTGGTGACACATCTAGTGGTGACACATCTAGTGGTGACACATCTAGTGGTGACTCATCTAGTGGTGACACATCTAGTGGTGACACATCTAGTGGTGACACATCTAGTGGTGACACATCTAGTGGTGACACATCTAGTGGTGACACATCTAGTGGTGACTCATCTAGTGGTGACACAGATATATTGTTGCTTGCTGGTCTGTTTGATGTGTACTTGAATCCCTCATTGAGGAGAGAGTTCTTTGAAGATAGACCTAGAAATTTGGTAAAAATGTGACTGGAATTCCATTCAAGTTACAGCAATCAGGGCTTTGTTAATCAATCTCTCTCTCTCTCCACCGAAATTACAGTACATTTCCACTTTTGACTAATCCTCATACTGAAATTTTCAAGATAAATTCCTGACTGCCTCTGTTTTTTCCCCCCGTCTTATTTTGGTTTACTTACTGGCACACCTTCTTGGTTATTTTAAAGTATTAGTTGTTCTTTGTTGTCTATGATTCTTGAATGTTTCAGAGTAATGAATCTTTACTGTGTTGGAGTAGGGGTTGTTTCAGAGTAGTGGTTCTTGGTTGTCTCAGAGTAGTGGTTCTTGGCTGTCTCAGAGTAGTGGTTGTTGGCTGTCTCAGAGTAGTGTTTGATGGCTGTCTCAGGATAGTGGTTCTTGGTTGTATCAGAGTAGATGTCTTTAATTGTCTCAGAATAGTTGTTCTTGGCTGTTTCAGAGTAGTGGTTCTTAGTTGTAGCAGAGTAGATTCTTGGTTGTAATACAGTTATGGTTCTTGGTTGTCTCAGAAAAGTGATTTGTGGTTGTCTCAGAGTAGTGTTTCTTGGTTGTTTCAGTGTTGTTATTCTCAGTTGTATTGTAACGGTGGCGTGTTGCTTTTGAGTATTTGCCCCTGGATGCCTAAGAGCAGTGACCCCTGAATGACTATGTATTTTCTTCCTAAACATTTAGATTGCTAATTCAACCTTTTAACTAATTTTCAGCATTTTTCTATAAAAGAACATATTTGAGACCTCTACAGCTTTGTTTGCTTATTTATTTGATTTAAATTGATTCAAGAACCAAAGTAATAATTTTAAAAAAAAAATAAAACATTGATTTACCAGGTTTACGTTAACGTCTTATTGTAAACTTTTCATTACACAACAGCCGATATTGTGTTCATTGTCAAGGACAAGCCACATCCCAGATTTCGACGTGAAGGTGCAAATCTGATCTTCACAGCAAAGTTGCCTCTGGGCCGGGCACTCACCGGCTGTACAGTTTCCATTCACACACTGGATGAGAAAATTTTACACATACCCATCACTGACATTGTCAAGTATGTATGCTCATACTGTCATCATCATCATGTAGCAGGACTTTGCAGACAGTCACTCTGATGATGCCTTGCTAGAAAGCCTGTCTCATAAACTGTTACAGCAAGAGTGTCCTTGACATCCTCTATCCACTTTTATTCTGGTACACCCCTACTTCTCCTTCTAGGAACTATACTTTCCACTGCTGTTCTCTCCAAACCATTGTGCAATTTCATTTAGTCAAATTATTTTAGTTTCTGATCCGAGAAATAATACTTTTTGTGAGCCAGCCCTTTTTGAATTTAGATTGTTAAAATTGTCAGTATTTTTCTTGTTCTTAATCCACAAAACTAAAAAAAATCTTCCTGGAGCATTTAAGTTCAATAGCCCAGACTTTGTTCTTTAGTGTCAGTAAAATAATCTACGACTGTGTTGCTATAGGAAAAATGCTTAGTCTTAGAGTTTTTACTTTAAGTAAATTGCTGATTTGATTGCTTCTTTGAGCAAAATTGAACCCACTGCCAGTTTGCATGACCTATCACACCAGATGGATCCCATTCCACTTGGCGAGCCAAAGCCCTGTTAGCATGTCAATTTAATATCTAAATAGCAACATTTACATAGCATATACCGCGGCTGGCATCCAATGACTCTTCAAATCCTGATTCTGAAAGACAGAACAGGATTAGAGAAGTTTGTTGATATAGTACCACAGGCCCCCATAGACTGTAACCTCTGCACTGCTACAGTCAGTCTGCTTCTAATGTTGGTCAACAAGTAGCCGTTCACATGAGAAGATCAAGTCTCAGAGAGGGTACGACACGGATGGGAGACAATCAGTGTGGGAGACAATCAGTGTGGGAGACAATCAGTCTTGGAGACCCTGTGAGCCAGCCTTCCTTGTGGAGATGGTGCCTGGTTAATTGATAAAGTTTAACAAATGAGGGTCCATGAGTGGGGAAAAAATGGGGGGGGGGGGGGGGGGGTGTGTGAGATATTGAGTGCTAGTCCCCACCTAAACTAACTATTTTCCTCTTTTTTAATCTTAGTACTTAGGGTTTCTCCACCCTAGTACATATATATAGATATATATAGATAGATAGTCTGGTTTTCCAACTTTAGAACACGCACCATATAATTGTGTCTTTATATTAGTGGTCGTTTAAATGGTGGTATTAGCACGGTAACAAATGTGGTTATTTGGTTATCACATGCTAAAGCTGTTTGTATTTTTATAGGAGACGGAAGTAAAGCTACAACTGTACTTGTAAATAACAAAGTAAGTCGTAAAAAATAGAAAAGCGGAGGTAGCGTTAGTAAAATATAAACAAATTAGGTAATGAGAACTTGAAAATCACGTGTAAAGCTCTTTAAGTTCTCTTAAATTTAAGTCATTACCCCCCTCCCCTCCCCTCTTCCACCGACTTCTGCTCTCTCCCTCTTCGAAGGATTTGAAAATCACTAACTGGCGATATTTTGTTGTTGCTGTAACTGACATTGACATCCCTGTCCATCTGGACTAAAATAAGGAGCAGGAATTGTAAAAGGTAGTGAATAGGGCTAAAAAAAAAAAACACACGTGAAAAGCAAATGAACACAGGAAAAAAACACCATAATTAGGAAATGAACGCCATTGTAAACAGCACAGCTTAAAATTCCAACACAGATGAAATAACTAAATCTAAATGAAAATAAATGAAAATCTATAAAATTTCAGCGTAACCATGCAATCGGAAAGTTTAACAATGCAATCATAAGTATGCGAAATGGTCAAATTTAATTATCAAATGGTTTACCCATTTACTTGTTTTTTTTTTTTTTTTTAAATATTAAGGCAACATGGCTAGTGCTGTCACCACGACAGAGCAGATGAGGATATTATTTTAGTCCGGGGTAAAAAAAAAATTTAACTACTGCGGATTCGAACCCAGGTCTACCGCACTTGAACCCAGTGTTCTAACCATTCGACCAAGCAGCCACTTAATCAGAACAACGAAAATAGAACACAACTATTAGACATATGTGTCCCTACCACTGTGTCGCGATTTAAACACAATTCAAAACCGCAGGCAATTGTTTTCTCGTAGACAGATACTCCAGATATATTAATGAAATAGAAATCGCACGTGTCTAACACGGTTAATGAAGTTAATGTCGCAGTCACTATCTGCGCCGACGTCCGTCGAGATAGTCCTCGATTGCCCCCCCCCCCCCCCCCATCGAAGGTTGTTTGAAAAAAAAAACAGAAAATAGAAATCGTGTTTAATATGGTTATTGTGGCAAATATAGAGATAGTCTTGTTTGCTGTACCACGACCTACTCTATGTATTAGTATTAGAGAAGGCGTTGGCTGCACGTAACTCGCCGGCGAATGGTAAATACGGCGCATGCGCAATTACTAACGTGGCTATAATTAGAAATCACTAAAGTTATAAATATTAGTTGCGTATATTTTGGCATACATTGTGGTCACCTATCTCTAACAGTGACAGGTTGAATTTCAAACCACGACGGTTCAAAATCCGGTATCACAACAAACATATCCTGAAAATTTCAGCTAAATCGGTTCAGTAGTTTCCGAGTCTATAGGGGTGAAACAAACACACAAACATTGATTTTTATATATATAGATAACAATTGTTTGAGTGTTTGGCTGGGAGATATTCAGATTTACATATAGTAAACAAAGTGTGTGGGCTCAGGAGAGTAAGATAATGAAATAATGTTATTTCTCTCTGCAGACCTGGATACAGAAAAGTGGTTCCTGGCGAAGGAATGCCATTGGTTGTTGCCCCTTGTGACAAAGGGGACATCATCATTGAATTTGACATTGAGTTTCCAAAGTCTCTCTCACAAGAAAAGAAGGAGTTTATTCGAAAGGCTCTGTTAGCATAAACATGAAAGTAGTTGTTAGCTTTGAACACACTGGTGTGCAGTCTGGCGTGTGGGGGCTGAGCCATGCCTGTTTAAGGGGACACCTGTAGTACAGTCAACTTGTCATTAACTTCAATACATCAACAATTAACACATTTTGTGCTGATAGAAAAATGTTTCAATATAACCAAAAACTTTGTGCCTTGCTAAGTGGCATCACTATGATAAAATAGGGGGTTTCTTTTAGACCGGCAGATCTTGATACAGTCCATACCATTCAGTTTTCTGTCCTTTCATTGTTGGTAAAAGAGGTTCATAGTTGTCAATGAGTTGATTGATAATCTTCATCAGCTGGGATGTGCTGTCTGTGTGATTTACCACAGATCTTTCAAAAAGATCTCATTTCAAGTGCTTGTTTCTTTCTTTCAAGTTTGCATGTTACAGTCTACATGCCAGAAATGTTTGTTTTTCCACACAAGTCTGTTTGTGGTATTTTGGATCAAGTCTATTATATTTTGTTACGCCAGCTTCTTAGACAATCAAGCATAATTAGACCATCTGTCTCTCCAGGTGTGTTAGCTAACAGAGAACATTCCAGTGAAATCTGGCAATGTGATGTTAAACCAACAGAAATAATCAATATTATTAAAGCAAAAGCAATGTATGAGGTCCCATAGTCTGTTGTGTGAATGGCTGATGATTTCAGTTGAAACTGGAGTGAAAGAAGAATATATTATATTTCCCCTGTTATTTGGCATAACTATTGACATAGTGATAAAGAAACAAATGTGCAGAAGATACTGGCATTGAGTGCGTGGAGGCTGAAGCTGCTGGTCTGGATTCTATCCATGATACTGGCACTGAGCGGGTGGAGGCTGAAGCTGCTGGAGTGGATTCTATCCATGATACTGGCATTGAGTGGATGGAGGCTGAAGCTGCTGGAGTGGATTCTATCCATGATACTAGCATTGAGTGGATGGAGGCTGAAGCTGCTGGAGTGGATTCTATCCATGATTCTGGCATTGAGTGAGTGGAGGCTGAAGCTGCTGGAGTGGATTCTATCCATGATACTGGCATTGAGTGGATGGAGGCTGAAGCTGCTGGAGTGGATTCTATCCATGATACTGGCACTGAGTGGATGGAGGCTGAAGCTGCTGGAGTGGATTCTATCCATGATACTAGCATTGAGTGGATGGAGGCTGAAGCTGCTGGAGTGGATACTATCCATGATACTGAAACTATTACACAGCTTAGATCAGAAAGGAGGAATAGACTGTGAAACTTATGGGACCTGAAACGGCACAACTATGGTGACTCTTGTGGTGGAGCCAGCTTTATGAGTAACAGATTATTCTCACAATTTGTATTTTTGTAGGAAAGGAAAGGCAGGAACTGGCTGATCCCACCTCTTCATACCCTGACCTCAAGCATTGGTTTTTATTTAAGACCCGCTGAGCCTCTTATTTTCATAGTTCTGCCATGGAGCCTATACTTTCTAATAGTCATATTGAAAAAAATAATAATTTACAAAAATGAGAATCATAAAAAAGACTGTATTCTAAATTTGAGGGTTTTGTTTGTGAATGATGTTCCTGACCTCTTTAATTTATTCCATGGACCCCTGGGGTGGCCTGTGGATGACCAAAGGGGAACCACTGATTTCAGTGTTCAGCATACCACAACACAAGCCCAGGCTTCTGTTGAAAGGACTACATCCTGCCATGCACCAACTCACACTCAAACATTCACGCCCAGGTGATCTTATTATCTATACAGATAGTTCGGTGTTGAGAGGAAAGAGAAGTGCCTGGAGGTTCATAGCGAAAGCTAATGGAAAATCTTTAGTGCAAGACAGCCTAGCATACGACATCACAACATCTAGCATGAAAATGAAGGTGCAGCTCTCTGGTGGCTAGAAAACAATATGCATACACATGTCGTAATTGTAACAGACAGAAAGCATGCTGAGAAAGGTAAAAACAGGGATGCTTTGAGCAGAGTGGCAAGCTTCACTGGGAAGGTCACAGGTAGTGAGCATACTTTGGATCTTTTCTCCAGGCCATGCCAGCGTAGTGAGTAATGAACAGGCAGACAGACTGGCTGGATTTGCACACTGGTTGGTGAATTGATACATGACAAGGCATATGCG